GTTTTAAGCTTAATCTTAGTTCACCATCACCAATTTAATCCTGAATTAAACTTCCTGGACATTTGGGCTGGAGGTAAATGGATTGATGCCATGGATATAATATGAAACCAATAATAAACAATCCTTACTGTAAACTGTTTTAGTGCTTTCAAGTTAACCAATTTAGTCATTAACCTTTCAGAGACAAGCTGGGCTTTAGTTTTGGCAAACCTATCTCACTTTGTTTCTTCTGCAAACTGTAATATATCATCACAGAAGAGAAAGCAGAAATGATTGGATATATTAATTGCCCATGGGATGACTGTTCTCTGCCAACCTGCAGTGGATATTCAAAAGGCAGATGCACTGTCACAGCACATTCAACAAGACAGGGAAGTCACAAATATGATTCTAGTCACTCACTTCAGGAAAGCAGAATACTACAGTCGAAGGGAGTTTATTAAGGGGATCTGAGGAATATTTGGCCTTTCTCATAGGAAAACTTGAAAAGAACTGTGCCTGCTCAGCATGGCAATGTGAAGGCCAAGCAGTACTGTGACTGATTTCTAAATACCTCCAGGGAGACAAACACTGGGGAGAAAAAACAACATTGGCATGAAAACTAATTAACATAAATGGCAAAGACTTAATTTAGATTGGAAGGTAGCTTAAAAATAATGTCTTCTATGTGAACAGTGATGTCTGAACAACCTCCTCAAAAAGCAGAGTGAAGGATAAAGAAACCCAACCCCCAACACACTTGCAGGTTTCAAGATGTATATAGATCCATTCCGGAAAAGGAGAGAGACCATGCCTCACAAGGATCTCTCTTCCAGTGCTTGCCTCTGTCAATATTGCAGCCCTTACAAAGACACCACTTCTATTACTAGCAAATATGCAAAAGAAAGTAGAAACAATAAAAAAAAAAAAGCCTAACAACCTCAGAGCAGAGATGTGGAAAAAAAGTTTGTATAGTCCGGGCTTCGTGCTGTTTTCCTACTACTCATCAGAATCAACAGGTATGAACATTTTCCTGTGTTTCACAATCAGAAAAGTTTGGTTATTTCACAGAGACTCAGTCCCAGTAACTTCAAACATAGAAGAACACAGAAATAATACCTTTCCAGCACCAACTGGTTTGGCTACATACGTTGCATATGCCACACTCACAATTTTTTCCACATTAGTCAAAATGTCCTCTACTGTAACCTTGATGCCAACCTACAAGGAAGGAGGTAGTGGAGGAAGGAGACAAAAAGGATATTTACATCATTGTCAGTTGAGCTGAGATAAAACAGTGCAGTGTTTATCAAATCAATCACATCCAGTCTCTTAAAACTAAAAGAAAAAAGGTAAAAAAACCCTGCTCTGCTATCACTGATACAACTCTGAACACATAAGAACACTACAATATCCACTAAGCTCTGAAAAGCTTTTTAGTACTACAGCTGTGTATGTGTGTCTAGCATCACTCATAGGGTAAAATAAAAACCAGGAAAGACATTTAAGTATAGTTTTATAGATATCTCTTTCCATTTACTTGTGAGCCATTTGGAGTCCTCATCTGAATCTTTCTAAGATCTGTATAAGCAAAAAACTCTTTATAAATGTATAAAACAAAATGAAACACTTGAAGGTGAAACACTGTATTTGATCCTGTGAGACAGGCCTGACATGCACCAAAGTTTCTGATTTTTTTTTTCCAATTTTTAGAATCTTTTGGAATACATTCTCTGTGAGATGCATCACCTCCATTAATATTAACAAGAACTGGACTTGGGCATAATGCAGAGAAAAGTACTCTTAAGGTTCAATCCTGATTTCAAGTAAGTGACTGGGAAATGCATTGCATACTTGTTAGAACATGAAGAGCAAGAATATGGATATACCTGAGAAAAATATTTTTGTATCAGAAGTTCCAAAAGTACTTAGAACTCCATACATTCAGTGGATCCCAGCTCTGACCCAAAGCCTGCTTAGACATCAACAGCTTTGGACTGAACAAACACCACTATTCCATCCTGTCCGTTACATCTGCCAAAGATTTTAAGTCTTTGGGGTCAAGTTTCTATTTTAACATGGATTATTTTACAATAAACATGCAATTATAACAGTCATTATACACCCAGAGTTTCATTAGTTAGTGTTATTGTTTAGATTTCTGCACAAAGCTCCTTCTGAAACAAGTAAGACTGCACCCATGTTGACTCCTCTACTCCTCCCACCTACCTTCTATTCTTAAATATCTTTAGGAATAAAAGTGATAACCTCTTACCTCCATACTGGTTTTGAATGCTCTGTTCACCTTTGCTTTGATGGTAATAATTTGTCCAACCCTGTTAAGAATAATAACATCTTATGGTATGTAATCATGCAGCTTAATAAGGGTTTGAACCTGCCTCTCTAGGTATTCCTAAGAGTAGCGAAGAAAACCTCATTAATCAGTCTGTGTCTTCCACATTGTATTGAAAATGCAATGAAAAAGGTTTAGCACTGTTATTCATCAGTCAGACTTCATGCTCAGTAACAATTTTAGTCACTCAGAAAACTGCAAAAACTTAGTATGAGCACTCCTTCTCCTTGCTGATATCTATATGACATCAGGTGTGCTCCAGCCCCAAGGTCCCCCAAGAAATTTTAGCCTAGATTCTGCTTTTGTTTCATTCACTCTCCAAGTTTTGGCCAAGAACAGGGCTGCAGCATGTCCCTTCTGTCCTAGCAGTGTACCCGAAGAAATGCTCTTTCTCATTTACCTACAGAAAACACCTAAACAGAATTATATCTTTTCACCTACATAGAATCAAATTTAAATGAGAAAATAATTTCCTTCCTTCTGCAATTTCTGAAGTGCCTGTTACGTGTTAATACCAAGAGCAACTCTTCTTTTCAAACCCCTAATATCCTAACACAAGGCAACATTGAAAGGGTGGAAAGAATGCAGTTTCTCAGACTTGTTGAGCAGAGCAGTAAAAGGACATGATGTGAATGGTAAGTCAGAACCACAGACAAAATAACTGGGCATCAGGCCACTGCCTTCAGGGAATTTAGACTGACTTACAACTGCTAAAGATCAGGCCCAGAGCAGGCAAAGTGCAGCTAGCTACATCTGAGACTGCAAAATGTAACTCAGACCACTTGAGCACCTCTAAAATAGGCATTTACAGCTACAGATTCGGCAGAGTTATGACCCCAGTTTATTTAAAAAAAAAAATCTTTATAATTTTTTCCTAATTTAATGAATAGAATTTTGACATTTAAAGGTAAGGCTTTTCTTAAATTGCTTCTCTCAATGCCAGAACTTCAAACACTAGAACAGGGAATAGGAAACCTACTCCTTTACAATACCAGACAGGAACAACCAACTACACAGAAACTTTCCTGTTCACATTCAAGAAGACAAGTGGAAGCCTTTGAGTAGATGGGGGGAAAAAATCCTTAGAGGAAAGAATTAAGAGCATCTGCAGACACAGCCCTCATTAGCTTTTGAAGAACATATTCAGAAGGAGTTTTTCCATCATTCACTGCAAAAAAAGCCCCACAATCATTAACGTAATAGTTTTAAACTGCACAGTTTAGGGAATCACCATCTCATTTACATAAGAGGAGAATGTGTTTAGAACAGTAACAAAATATTTATGTTTAAGCTTGGAAAAGGAGTTAACATTATGGTCTCATAAAAAGGCTTTAGAAAGCTTAGAGACAGAACTCAGTCAAGTAACCTGAATCACCTCTGAAGACCCTGCCACAAAACTCCCAAGAGGATTGCAGTGACCCAGCAGTAGAAATGATGGCAAGTAAAATGTGAAAAAAGACAGAATATATTAATTAGATAAACTCTACAATTGAACATGATATATACTGATAATGACTGTGAGGTTTTCTTTAAAAGATGGAGTGTTCAGGGTCTCTACAGATGCTTGCAGAGGACATCACAGTCCCTTGTCAAGAACATCACGATTGTTCATGAGGTCCCAGCAGGGACTGCGGAGGTCAGGCTACCTCAGGCTTAATAGCAGGGCACTATTCTTCTGAACAAAGATCTCTTATCTGACCTCTGTCAGTGACATCTCCCCGCTGACCTCTCTGACTCTGTGTGAGAACATTGCCTAAGAGAGGTTAAGTCTGGGTCTGTCTGCCTTTGAGGAGAGCGCAGGGTGGGAACAACCTGACAAAGCTGGACGTGATCTCACTCGGCCTGAGACACCAGTCCCACCCTACGGCACGTTTGGACTCCACAGGCGTTAGGTTCCCTGTCCGACTGACACCTCCCCTGGTGCTCCACGCAGTCCATGCACTTCAGTGTAGGAAAGTGTAGTCCTCTGGTCAGAAAATACAGATGTCAGAGCTGAGGTGGTCAGACACTATGATAGGGAAATGTCTTTCAGATATTTTTGTAAGCTGTTTCAAAATGACACGTTTTACATTGTATGTATTCTGACTTTGGACAAACTGATTTATTTAAGGCAAAGGAGGCAATCAGTTTGGGCATTTAAACAGGTAACAAAGGGCAGAAGTCACAGAACACCACACTTTCACCTGTCACTGGCAGAAAGCTTTTGAAATACATCAGAACTAACTGAACATCATTCACATATGGAGCACTAACAAAATCTAAATAAATTTAATTTTAAATCAGATGTTCTTACTACCACTGAAGTCCTGCATATTAAAAGACAAGGAAGAGGGATTTATTTGCTACCATGGCATAAAACTGAGTTTTGCAATATATAGATCTGTAGAAATCTCTGTTTCCATGTCAACTGAAAAGAAATATGCACAGATGAGTTAATCCTTACAGAACATTGGGTAACCTGAATTAGGTAAATGAAACCTTACAGCAGGAAACTTACAAAGTATTTTAATTTACTAGGCTGAGATACAAGAGCTCTCTTATTTACACAAGATGTTTGTATAATCAACAAGATCTGGCAAAATTTAGAAATTACACAGTAAGCTACAAACAAGATGTTAGGGATGACCTGAGGCTGAAAAATAATTATGGAAACCACTTCACAGTTAGTAGGCTTGTACCCTAAATTCTTGTTAAAAACGAAACATTGGCACCACAAGTGGAAGGAGAACATATTTGGAAGGAAAAGTATTTTCCTTGTATTTTACAAGCTCTGTTCTGCTCTCAAAAACAAGAGATAAAATTGCTCTGAAGCTACTGGAGTCTGAAATATTATGCCTGAAAGAAAAACATTACTCTGACTTCATTTGTAGGACTCTTTAATTATAATTTTCACAGAGAGATTTTTTTCCTAAGGACAAAATTAAAAACAAAAAACAACTACAGGCAGGACAAACATTTTAAAACTAATTTGTAAAACACACTGAGAAATTCTCTTGGGTTCTAGATTCAGTGTGACCATGTTCACTTCTTTGTTACTGTTCTAGTTCTCATCCTAATGGCCTGCTGTTCCAAAGTGTGCCTGGATGCTTATTTTACACTCATGTACCACAAACAGTTTTAAACTTACATCAGCTGTACATCTGACAGCCAAAGCTGCTTGGTTCATGACAACTGCATGTGCATTGGTCTGTGTAACCAGAGCCATCCCATCTAAGCACTCATTAATTCCAGATTGCAAGGTGTAAAAACACACAACTACAAAGTAATGGCTTTAAGTTTCTGTAAAGATATAGTTTAGCTATATCTATGTGTGCTATTTCCTCTTACAGTGTCCTTTATCCCTTGTAAAATAATGAAAAATGGTTAAAACATAAATGAAGTCCTGTATTATCTTGTAGACTCAGTGAATATTCGGTGAGCACAAATGCAAAACATTTCTGTTTTGTTACATGAACACATTTTTTTAAAAGGAGCTGAAAGAAAGAGATGGTAAGAAATGAACTGAAAGAGCACCTGCAACAGTAAAAAATACATAGAGTAACTCTTATAGGTATGTATTCCTTATGTAACAGAGATAAGTAAAGGCCTGCAGCATGGACTTTAACTAGAGCCAAAGGTCACCAGGTCATCTGTTTCTCACCTGGCATTTAGCTTGCCAAGTCAAAGTAACTACAGTTTATTTTTGACCTGTGAAATTGATCTATTGTCTAGGTGGGTCAGGCTATCACTGATAGAAAAGGGCAATTTTGAGACTTAACTCTGTGACTCTGGGGAGTTCATTGGCCTGCTCAGACTTTACAGTGCCTCAGCCTGCATCTGCCAAATAAGAAACTCTGGAATGAAAACATTTGACTGTTGTTAGCTGGTTTTGTACCTGGCAGCCTCTTCAAACTGTATGTCATCCATAGACGCTGTCACGCAAGACACACCAGCATGTTTCTCAGCTTCAAAAGAGACACAGGGACACACCGTTACCACATTCCATTTCCAGCAAGCTACTCACTTATACACTTGTGCATGACAGAGATGAAGCACAGTAGATCCCACTTCCTCCTTTGATTACCCTAATGCAAGTTTCCAGTGGACTCCTTAGGAAAAAAGAAGCTAAATAAGATTAAAGTTAATATTTACCATGAAATAAGGGTAACATCAGGAGATGAGACTAGATGGTGATAATGACTCTACTCAGTTTGGAAAGCTCTGCTTAAGATTTTTCTCTAAAAATGAACATTCTGATAGAAATAACAAGCATGTTGCAGGACAAAAAGAGTCACAAAGCATTAACAAGCCTACAGAAATCTCAGCAATCTCCCTCAAAACAGGATGCCATGAATATCGGTTATGTTGAACCAGTGTGGAAGTTTAATGTCAGTTGAGGATTCTCAGACACAGGAGAAAGATCTACTGGCTTATTAGCATGGCCACAGCAGTGGAAAGCAGGTAAGAACATGTGCTGTACTAAAACTGCAGGAATTCAATAAAAACAAATACAAACAAGATTTTAAAAATTCAAACCCATGTATTTAATTATTGTAAAATATTTTTACCAAAATTTGAACTGTGTTCTTCTCCCTAGTATAATGCATTTGGTTATGAAAAATAATGCACCCTATTTGTATTAATTATGAAAGTTAATCTGGAAAAGGTAAATATCTTCTTTACTGTTAATATTTAATAGCCCAATAGTTTTCTTTTTTACAGGAACTTACTGTGATTTATTATTTATTTGACCATAGCACCTAGAGTTCCAAGTCAGACACAAAATCTTTACCACACTAGGAACTGTATAAAAACAGGGAATCCCTGCTCCAGAATGTTTCCTGAGTGACAGAGGGAAAAGAAAGGACTAGCAGGAAACCTAGAAGAGAGCACTGCACAAGAGGCAAGAGTCTTCCCTCCCAAGCAGCCCAACAATTTTAGTGAAGAAAAAAGCTTGGAGGAATTAGAGAGAGTTATATCAGTATCTGATGAGATCCCTTTGAAAATATGAGGGTAAAACACATCAAGGTACTTATCAGAAAGACAGCAAAATGTGATGAAAGGGAAGAGGTCACTAACGACCAAGAGGCTGGAGTCGGCACTGTGACATGTAATACAAGACGGTGATAGTCACAAATAGCCTCAAAAGTCTAGAAGCAGTCAGCCAGGTGGATCACATCTAAAGCAGCAGGATAATGAAATGAGGAAGGTGCAAAGCCCAGGCACTTGCAACTGCACCAGCTGGCATTAATGTGGGTGAAATATGGTAAAGCTAAACAAATCCTGTCTGTGTCCTGGTTTTGCTAGGACAGTTAATTTTCTTTTTAGTAATTAGAATAGCTGTGTTTTAGTTTCAGTGTTTCAGTTCAGACTTGTTATGAGAAGAACGTTGACAACAGTGCTGGTGATATTAGTTGCTGCTGGAGCTCAAGGCCACCCTGTTTGGTTGGTTCACAGCTGCATTAGGACTGGGAGGGAGAAACACAGTGAATAGCAAAACCCAGAATGTTGAATCTGCCATGACACAAAAAGAGAGGAAAGACGTTACAAACCCTTTGTGTGCAACGGGATTAGCCCTGTGGCGTGAACGAGTGCTGCTGCCCTAAGCCTAACCAAGTAAATGCAGTTATGAAAGGTGGATTGAAAGTGAGCTCTGGTGGCAGGTTGGCAGCAGCTGAAGATCATCAGAGCTTAACCAAAGTCCAGGGAGCAAGGACAAACCATTGTAGCAGCTGGAGCTCTTGACACTTCACATCGGAGACTTGAGTTGCTGAGATCAGTTCAGAGTCTCTCAACAAAGAGCACTGTTAAGGGATAAATCACTGAAGGGCTGAAATCAAATGGCTCGTGCTAGAAAAAATCTCAAAAAAAAAAAAAGTGTGTTCATATTGGGAAGTTGCTACATGCTAGGTAGTTTCTAGGTTATTGTGTGGGACACG